TCTAGTTTTCTAGTTACATGGTTTTGAGTGTGTATACACACAACAAAGAGGAAACCCGAATACCTGATGGAGCACCTTCTTTGTTATGTGGATCCCTGCACATTAGAATTCAGTTAGGATGCTGTCCTGGGATGCTGTACAGATTGATAAGGGCTGCCAACAAGTGGGTGAAATTCAGACAGACTTTCACAACTGGGCCCCTGTATTCCATTTTGCTTGCCTGGTGCTGCTTTTGGCTTTGTGTTTTGTGACTTGGAGCCAGGTCATGAACTTCATTCTCTAAGATGGGCAGTGGGTGGACTGAGGAAATTTGCCAAAATCACACTGTTTGCACTGTAAATGCAAATTAGAAGCTGAAAACGATGCAGTTGTCTAGTGCAATTTGTGCAGATTGCCTTGCAGTTTTTTTAAATGTCCTTTCTTAGATAGAGAAGTCTGTTGAAGAAACTGGACTCAGCCCACCGCTGATCATCAGACTGGAAGCGGGCAGGACACTGAGCAAACTCACATGAACTGGCCTTCTATCATCAGTGTAACGTAGCTCCTGAGGGTGTCTGGAAGTCAGTGTGCAGCAACCTAAGAGAGAGCATTTTTAATATAAGCATTCAGACTGTGGGATTTCTGCCTCTTCATGTAGAGTTGCTGCAGTGTCTTACAAGTTTTCAGCTCCAACTAAAGACCTCTTTATTCACCCAGGCATTTGACTGACTTTTTGGGACTGCAATGTATAAACTGTCATATAATCTTCTCCCCCGTTTGTGCACTTGGTCCATGCTGTAAAGTTTTATCGAGTTTTATTGGTTCTACCATGCTTTGGAGTTATTTTATAACAAAAAGCGGGCAATCAATTTCATCAAAGTAAGGAAACACAAAGAGACCAGCCATAGCTCAGTGGTAAATTGCATGCTTCATGTACAAAGGCCCCAGGCTCAATTCCCAGAATTTCTGTTAAAGGATCTCAGATGGCAGGTCCTAAGAAGAACCCTCTGCCTGAGACCCTCAGTGACTGTGGCCAGCCAGAGTAGACTAGGTGGACTAGAGGAACACAGACTTCCCTGTAAGGCAGCTTCATATGTTCATGTGAAGCAGACACCTTGGGTGGCAGATCTCACAGGGAGCACCTTCCCATTCCCCATTTGTATTTCTCTGTGGCGTTAAAAAAATCATCATCTCCAGAACTGTGCATTTTGATGCACATGCAAAAATACCTAAAGCCAGCATTTATTCACAGTTAAAAACACGCTAAAAGAATAGTCATTCATATAAAAGTGGCCAACACACATAATGTAGACTATGATGGCCAGTGATTTCAACCTCCCTCTGGTGTTTTAACTGCAGCAACAACCATCATAATAAAAAATCAGTTTTTTCTGTCATACAGTAGAAGGTTCCACAGGTTTGAACTTGGAAGAGCTGAGTGGAACTGTCATGGACAGAACATTTTGGAGGACTTTCACTCATAGGGTCACATAAGTCGAAAACAACTTGACAGCAAATAACAACAGCAGAAGACTGGTTCATAATAATAATATTATCTGTTTCTAGTGCACTTTTAAAACAAGATGCTAAACAATAAATGAAACAAAAGGCATTCCTGGACTTGCAACACTTACTTGGCTATCAAGATAAACCATGGTTTATTGTGATGGGAGTGAATGTAGTGTTTCCTGAGGCTCAGACAATCACCCGTTTTCTCTCTTCTTTGGCCATGGCTATGGGAAGGAGACTGGAAGCTTTCAATTCTTGTTTTCCCTTAGCCTCACTTTAATGTTATCTATGAACCCTAAACTTTAGATGTTAGTCTTCATTATGGTAATCTTAACTATGTTTTGTTTAAAAAAAGCCAGGGTCATAAACCGTGCTTTGAGTTATGGCTGAACTGTGGTTTATCAATGCAGGTAACCCTGTAGAGCATTGTAACTGGAATTGAAAGCTTCCAAACAGTTTCTCATCACCACATTAAAAGAAGAGCGGGAAGGAAGGGGAGTATTTGAGCTTGGAGAACAACCCTTTTCCTTTCACAGTAAACCATGGTGTATCATAGCATTTAAATGTAACCAATCACATTTTTTCAAAGGTTCTAAAAACAGTCTTAATTTTATGGTAGTTTGACTTTTTTCCCCTGTTGATGGAATTTTACCTTATCAGAAACCCAAAGGTTCTTCCATGTAGATTTTTTTAAAATCTCAAACCTACTGAACTGATAACAATAGTGTGTGTGTAGAATATAAAGTGTTTCTACTTGGGAAGGATGGTGGTTGAAAAACAAATACTCCCTTTCGTCTTATTAGAGTCAGAATGTGGGTTCTTAGGAAATCAAGGCGTTTAAAAACATGTCGTGAGCCATCCGCAATTTAAGCCTTCCTGCTTTGCCTGGGCTAGACTTTTCCTCTCAATGACTGGATGCCATGCGTGCAATTCAATCTGTAGAAGAGATCTGAGGATAGATGTATATTTGAGATGGTCAGTGGTTTTCTGACGTAGGCAGATAAGTCTGGGACCAGCATGAAATTAACAACTGTTATTCTCACTTGGACTCTGTTATATAACATGGATAACCCATTTCCACACATAATGAGACAGAAAATGATATTCCTACCACTTTGAACACAGTTTAATTATTTTTGTAGCATATGGATATGGAGATTTATGCTCCTTTCAAATGCAAATTTCAGTGAGATCTTTTATGTGATCCAGAGAGAGAAAGAGAGAGGGGAAGAGAGTCTTTAGGGAAAAGAAACACGCACATGCACGCACCATAGGGCATGTGCTAGCCAAAATTAAGCAGGTTTTTATGAACAGAGGAAGCTGTCTAAAACTGCGTGGGATCAGTTGATCCTGTGTTGTCCACTTTCAGTAGCAGTAACTCTCCATGAGCTTTCCTAAGCAGAGTTGCTGGAGATTCAACCTGCATCTTTGTGCATGCAAACCACATGCTCTATCGTGGGAGAGAATTAGCCATTCATCTGTTTGGTTCTATTGGTTCAGCCACTATGAGCCAGTCCAGAAGAGCCTTTATCCTGTTCATGCATCTCCTTTGCTACAAGGCACAATTAATTTCAGGAATCTCTAATTAAGCATAATTTCCTGCTTGACTGAGCTGAGAATTTATGGTTACCAGCTTTGGAACAAGCCAGCATCTTAAGCTAACTTCAGAGTGTGGTTTATTATTCTGGTATACCCCAAAGTTGGTAACCATCATTGCCCAGTTTAGTTGAAATTAGAAGCAGTGATGAATTGGAGACTTTCTGTTTTGTTTGTTCATGCAAAAAGACACAAACACTTCTATATAGACCATCTGAACATGGGGTCATTCTTTCTCCTGTGATCATGTAGAGTGAAGGAAAATCCATGTCATTGTTAAAGTCTGAAATTCTCTGCCCCAACTCTGTCCCACCAGTGGAGAGGAGTAGGATGGAAAACAGAAGAGCGTTATGACTTCACATCATGTATAGCCTTTTACCATATGTTGCAGAAAGAAAAATGAGAAGGGAAAGAAGACATGGGCATGCTATTTCATTGCTAGTCACCTGCCCACCATGACCAATAGTTTTGCCATTAAGCAAATGCTTAAATTTCTTTCAATGGGATTAAAAACAGGTCAGCAAATTACTGAATTGTGCTCAGAAGTCCAGAGCTTTTCTTTATATGTTTTACTTCAGGGCTGTTTGGGTTTGTGGGATTCATTTGGGGTTTTTATTAGATACTTTCCTACAGGGCACCTCTTCTTTCTTTGTGGTTCACCATTGCCCGGCCTGTGGGGAAACCAAAGGAGAAGGTAGTCCTGCCAAGGGAGTCCAGCTAGATAACCATCAGTCTCCTTGCATCAGGCATTGGTGACGGCTGGAGAAGACCTTTTTTGCCTGAGATAAAGGAGAGGCACAGCCAGGCTGAGAGACCACAGCTGGGCCACATCTGATGTAAGGCAGTGTCTCATAATCCTGTAATAAGCTGTGGCTCTGCTTGAGCCTGAATACAGTGGCAGGACAGAGTAAATGAGGCCAGACTGGCAAAGTACTACAGTGTAAGAAGCACTGCTGTTTCAGCACTTGGCCCCATGTCTTGGGAACCCTTTTGAAAAAAGGAAAGTGCCTTCCAGCACTGGGTTAGCTTCTTTTTCTTCTTCTTCTTCAAACTGCTATATTCAATTACTGCAAATGCTCCCGTACTTCACTTCAAATAAGCTTGCGTAAGTGCTTGAGGCCTGCTGTCCGCTAAGTGCTGCCTTCTGCTAACACGGAGGACATGCCAAAAGGCAAGCGTCATGCTTTTACCGCAAGCATTTTACCTTTGCAGAAAAGCTTCCGCCAAGTGCAGGAAAAACAGTTACTCTTGCACCATGACTTTCTTTCCAGATAACTTTCCTATGTGGCTCACTTCAAACAAATTCCTATCCCTTTTTATATATGTTTGCACAGTAGAAGTGGAATCAAGGTGCACACATTTCTCCTTTTCTTATATGTCCATAAGTCAGTGTTCCTGGGGCTGTTAAAAAGAGACAATGACTGACATGCTAAGCCAAGAAATGGAATATTTCTGAGTGGGAGCCCGTTAGGACTACAGCCCTAATTGAGACCAATACTTTTTGAATTAAGATGACAGAGGAGTTATGTTATAGAGGCAAAAAAGGTGAGTAATGGGTTGCAAAGCCACAGTTCAAATTAAACCTCAGCCGCCAGTTCACCAGGTTGTTAGAGGCCAGGCTTCCAGTAGTAACCTCAGCGCTAGCCCTGGGGCAGCACACAATAGACACCTGCTGGGGCCTGATTGAAGCCCCCCATGCTGGGCGGCTTGGATCCACCCTTTTACTGCTCCCACAGTGCCCTGACATACCAGATGTCTGGGGGGCCTGTGGGACAGCCCCTCACCCCCAGCACTGCTTGCCTGGCCCCCTTCTGGGGATGCTGTCCAGTGAGCCCATCAGGACCCCCCCCCCCCCCACAGGTACCATCCAAAGGTGTATTTTCCTGAATAAAAATGCAAGGAAATTCCTCTCCCAGCGCGAAGGCTGTCGGATCTGGAAGATGACCATGATGAAGGGGACAGACGGGCTGGGGATCCAGATCACTGGAGGCCGTGGATCGAAACGTTCGCCCCATGCCATCATTATTGCCAGCGTGGAAGAAGGAGGCTCTGCCCACAGGTACTGACTGTTGTACTGTTGCGTTGTGCAAGCCTGACCATTCAATCTGCCTTCAGCAATGCGCTGGTGCGTCAGCGATGCAAACACAGGAGAGCCCTAGGCAGGTTCTAAACCATTTGCTGCTTCGATTTAAGCTCCACTGTTCAGCTAAGACGCATTCCCACAGTACCTATGAAAGTACCAATTTTTATGATTAGAAGTTAACCCAGCGCAAAGGAGAACCAGTCAAAGGAGCCTGTCCCACTTTTAGGCAGATTGAAGCAACTCTGTGCAACTGATTCTGGGTATTATGAAAGGGCAGCAAATTGTTAATTTTTTAATGTGTCATTACTGTTGTATTTTATTGCCAGTAGGGGTGTGGGTGAGATTTTCTGCCTCGTGCCTCAGTGACCTGCCTGCCCTCGAGGACTACACAGTTTGACTGGTGGGAGGCCTTCTACTTCTTGCTCTTCTGTAGGCAGCCAGCGTCTTGGGACACCTGTTAACAATAGTTGTTTTCTGCTCCTGCTCCCTGCTAAAAAACATTTATCACACCTGGCCCTCCATGCAAAGTTCTTTGATGAGTCCCAACTAGCCCCCAGCCAGGGGGCTCATCAGTTTCCTGCTCTATCTGGGCACCCGTTCAGTTTAAATAGGGTAGGTGGAGAATTCTATAGAAAACACACACAGCTTTTCCAAACTGGCCCGGCCAAATCCAGCCTTCTTCCACCCACTGCCCTCCAGATGTGTCAGACTGAAATTCCCAGCATGCCTCAGCCGGGAAAGCTGTGGAAGACCAGCCTAACCTCAAGGCATTGGATGGGAGTGACTGCCTGAGTGGAGTTTTGTGGTCAACTTGGCATACACTGGTGCAGGAGTGGGGCCTCCTGTACTAAACTTAAGGGTCAATTTATCCCTGGAAGAAGAAAAACGGTTGGAAATCCTTATTTCAAAGAGTTTGTCTTCCATGGTGAGACCTCTTTTTTCAGGCATTTTATTCTGGCTGCCCTACTCATGTGGCCAATTTCCTCCCCACCATAAGAAATTAGGTCAAGTCATCAGTACGTAAGCCTTGGCATGGCCTGGCCATCACCTGGAAAAGAGGCAAAAGGAAGTTGGCCTGTTAGGAGTAGGAGTGCCCCATTCTTTTCTGTCAAGATGGCTAAGATGCCAGGCACTGCAAGCAGAATGAGGCCATGCAGAGTTAACTACTCCACAGCAAGAGAGTGAGTTAACTACTCTATGGGAAATTTAATATTAAAGCTGACCTACTTACCAGTGATATCGTTAGTGTTTATAAAGTGCTCTGAGACGCTTCAGTGAAGGTGTTAAGCAAATGCGGAGTGACTTGATTATTCATTATTAACAAAATGCAGACAGTATCTTCTGCATTCAACTCAAAATTTCCCTCCCAAAAGTGGGTGGTTGGGGACAGGATTTCCAAACAAAGCACTTCTATTTATTCATTTATAGTCCTAGGCTTATGGGTGGGTGGAACCCAATTGTTAGAAAAGATTTCAGCCAAAGCAATACTGTGTCATTGTTTCTGAACACTGACATTGAAATACAGCCTTTTCAGACAGCATGCAAGCTCTCTCCTAAGTTTCCAGACGCTTGAGGGAACCATTGTGGTGTATTGGAGGTCTGAAGACCCAAGTTCTAGTTCCACGTTGCCGTGAAGTCCACTTGAGTGATCTTGGGCCAGTGAGTGAGTCACTGCATTGTGTTGTTGAGAGGATTCCTTGGAGGGAAGGCACAAATGTCACAAACAAGCAAAAAGCTAGCCACATTTCTCAGTAGCTACAAAACTGCCTTTTGTTTTTTCCTGTTCTTTTAGGGATGGCAGACTGAAAGTAGGAGATGAGCTTCTGATGATCAACAGCCACTCCTTGGTTGGTCTCTCCCATCAAGATGCAGTTGCTCTTCTTCGGTCGGCTGAAGGCCTTGTGTACTTGGTTGTTTCCAGCAGGGTAGGTGGTATTCCATACCCAGATTCATACACTGGAGTGCGCCCAACATTTAACAGCTGCAAAATGTGATCATGACCACTAGTGCAGAGGGTGATTACTAAGAACTGGAAAAAATCAGAACAAAAGAGAATTGCCTCTTTAACCAGCAAATAACTAACATTGGGAATTCACTACTACAACACTGGACAATGGTTGTTCATTTAGTTGGCTTTACACAGTTGATGGAGAGGGGATGTCACAGTGGCTATTAGTGAAGGAAGCTAAGCTGGGATGAGGAAAGGCATGCACCCCAATGGGTGGTGGACATGGCTTTGGGGCAGATTTGCTGCAGTCTCAGGCCTTTGTTTTAAGGGCAGAAAATGTGTGTTGAAACTATTTCTGCTGCATGCAGAGATTGCATGTCTAATGGAAGTCAGAGAACTGCATCCCTAAGTTCCAGATGTTGGAGATCTGGAACACAATCTGGGGGGCGGTTCTATTAAATACTAGTGACCTATTGAAAAAGTAGATGAAGGGCTCAGGACCAAAGAAGGCCAAGTTTGCAGCATCACATAGCTTGCTTCCTCTCTGTGTCATCCCCTCCCTCCTAGTCCAGTATGACTGACAGCACTTCTGCAGGTTTCCCATTTGACTACCTGAGATCCTTCTTGGGGGATGCCAGCTACTGGGCCTCACTGCTTATACATGCAATGCGCATGGCCCACCATGCTCTTGCCTCACCTATAAGCTTCCCAGAGCATCTGGGCAGCTGCTGATGGATTAAATGGGTCCTAGTGTGGCCCTGGAAGACGATGTTTATAATGGCATATGTCAGGATGAACCAGTGGCCTCCAGACATTAGTCTCTCAACTCCTATCAGTGTAGCCAATAGTCCAACTGGGAGTTGCAGTCCAATGATATCTGGGCAACTAGAGGTTCCCCATCCCAGGAGGAGATGGTAACAGTACTGTAAATATACTTGAGCCATTTTAAAGAGTCTGTGCTTAATGTAGGCAACCCAGCCCCCATGAGCCAACAAGCCCATCCTCTGAGTTTTTCTACATGTTGTGTTTATTACACACTGATAATTTCTTTCTCATTAATTTCTAATTCAATTTAATTAAAACATTTCTATGCCGTCCTTTGCAACAAGCCTCAGGATGGCTTACAGAAGGTAAAATAACAATATAATTATATAAATATCATTAAAACATTCAACAATAGAACAAAATAACAATATATCTTTTTATAACAAAAGAAAAAGAGAAAAATGAAAATGTGACTGTACAAAATTAATAATATTATTAAAATTAATGATATTAATTATTAAAATTGTGGTTAAATAAAAAGGTCTTACTGTTGTTTACAGCCTCTTTAAACAAAGTCAGGACCCTCTAGTTTAGCTTCAGAGCACTTTGCTGTTGCATTTCGACTTTTTTTTTTTTTTTTTTTTTTTGAGGGGGGAACGTGTTTTTAGAAAGGGGAAAATGCAGTATTATTTTAGAATGGAGAAACTAGTGTTGTTTCTCCTTGGCTGTTTGAGCTGTTCTGTTATTGTACAGTTCCACTTAGAGGTTACATAATGGAAAAGCAGGGAAGGAAAATCGCTGCACAGAGCTTAGATTTCAGTGCTGTCACAAAACAAAGCGGATACATTTGTATTTTACTGTATATATTTTAAAATGTTATTTTAATTTTTTGTTGTAAGCCGCCCCGAGGCTTCGGCGAATGGGGTGGCATAAAAATGTTTTAATAAATAAATAAAAATAAATAAATTCAAGTACGCTGTGAAGGAGATAATCTTTCACTATATACTGGGACAAGTCACAAGATGGGTGTGCTAACTATACATTTTACAGCATTTCAGTTGGAGTTATTAAGTATCAACCGGGTTTGGCAGGGACTCTGCTGTTTTCTCCCTCTACCACGCCAGTAAATCCATTTGGAATGCATGTCAAAGTGTGTGTGTGTGTTCAGATTAAAGCAGGTGGGCAGTATTCCGGGAGAAGGATACTGGCTCTCATCTTGCTGAAATGCTTTCTCTGGTCAAGCACACCTGTGTCTGAGCAACCAGTGTGAATTCTCATAGGAGAAAGAACTGCCACGATCCATTTCAGGAGAACTGAAGGCCGAACTACGCTGGCTTTCACAAGAGATAACAAGGGGCTGATAAGCCCATGCATGTTCAGTTCCTGAGTTCTCATCAGATGATTATTCAGCAGTCAGAATTCGTTAAAAGGGCTCCATTGAAAAGCAAGCAAACTTTGTGGCCGAGGGAAACATCTGCCTATGGTGTTTGATGGGAATGGCCTGTTCACGCTTGCAAGTCATCTTTTGATGCTGCGCACATCTAGAGATGAATGTGAGGGTAGCTGTGCAGACACATTCACAGGGACACGTGACTTGTATGTATGACCGATCTGGATGTAAGGCAGCCGCAACCAGGAGGATTTCTGTATTTATCCACATACCTCTGCGTCCTTCAGAGGTGTTACACTGCAATGACCAGCATTCCCAGCAGCCAGTGGCCATGCTGGCCGAGAATTCTGGGCATTTCAGCCTTACACACCTGGATGGCACAAAGTTGGGGATGACGGAGGTCTTACTGAAATGAGGAATAACTGCTTCTATAATGGGGACAAACCTTTGCTCAGAGGTCAAGAGCATACTCTGTTTCATTTTCTTTTAAAGATTTGTTTCCAAAGGCATCTACATGCACATTTGTTACAGAAGAGAACAAAGGCTTGGGTAATAAAGCCATCCCCCAAGCATATGGGCCGGTTTACATGTTGTAATTGTCAGGAAGCTAAAGATAAAATTGGAGAAATTAATTTGGCCACTGATGATGGTCTATCCTGAGGACTGGTGTGACCTAGCTTGGCTGCTCATGAGCTTCGCCCATGGAAGAAGGTTCCCAGTAGAGCCACTCTGGAAGGAGCGACTTTGCTTGCCCCACATCCTCACATGCCCCACGCCACCTCCCATGGGGTCAGGCGCTGGGCAGATTAAGCCAAGCCACTCTGGTGCCTCCTGATGGGGGACAGCGCATGAAGGAAAGGACTCAGCCAATGGGTGCAGGGAATCCTGCAAGTGTCAGACAAGTTTGATACTCATCCTCACTATTGAAGGGGCTGTTATCTCCTGTCTCTGTAAAAGGAGTCATCTTCACTAGCTTGTCCCTAGGATGGGACTCCCCCCCCCCCCGTGTGTCTGTGTGTAGCGGGGAGGGGGGTTATCTCTTGTCACAGACTGAAACTAACAAAGAGATTGCTTTCTCCAGGCTGAGAGGGTGGCAGAGTTTGGGGAATGAGAGGGGCCTTCAGAGGGAGGCCAAGCCCATGTGCTGCAGTTTCTTCACCCCTGTTGCATGTAGGTAAGCATCACAGTGCTCTATGCAAAACAGAAGGTATCCTCAAGGTTGCTCAGGTAGCCCTTGACCTTGTTTACCTGTCTGGGAGGAGAGGACCCTTCAGGATTGAGCCATGTTTTCTCCTATCACAGCTTTTGAAGGGTCACTTCAAAGATACCCGCATGAGTGAGTTGACAGAGTTATCCTCAAGGCTGATGACCTTTGCAACCCCTTTTAATCGAATCAAGGAGAAAGCAAGTCTATCCGATGGCTTGTGATTCTGTGGTGACTTTGGAGGCTCAGATTGTTCCTCGCAGCTTCTCAGGCTGTGCTTTCCAGAATCAAAATGGATTCTTGACCAAAGAGGTCAGGGTGCAGCTGTCAGAGAATGCTGTATGAGCCAAGCTTATGGATACTTTTTTGCCTCTTGTCTGTTTTTATTGGAGCATGTAAGAAGGGACAGAGTAGTATGTGACTATACCATGAGCATGATGCCTGTGTCATTATCTCCTTCAGCCCTTTTAAAGATTAGCATCAATCTCCAGCCTAGAGTACTCAGATGCACCTTCTCAGTTTACTTACTCTAAGCATCAGTAACGTAAATTCTAGACTTAAGAAATAATAGACAAAGGCCACAGTTCTTTCCTGGGATCATGTGGCATTGAACAGAGTGAGAACAAAACAGCAGTGGAACCAGCTGCCTAGAGAGGTCATGGGCCAGTAAAGACATTCAAAAAGAAACTGGACAGCCATCTGAGTGGGAAGGTATGACTTGGTGTCCTGCAACAGCAGGGGGCTGGACTTGATGGCCTTCATGGCCCCTTCCAGCTCTACTATTCTATGATTCTATGCCTAGGATAATAGTGCAGGATTGGTAGCATCAAGCATGGACTGAGGTTTATGGGCATGGAAGCAAGTTGTCCTATTCCCTTACCTCATGGGTACAATCGTATCTTGCCCATGGGGTGATCCACAGTTTGCCTGTCTTAATAGAATGTTAACATTCTTTTTTCTGACAGTTTAACATTATTTTTAAATCACACAGTGCACAGTCAAGCTTGTAAAAAGTAAGCTTAGTTTTGTTATTATTTTAAAGCATGTGAAGAAAAGAATTAATTAATCAGTATGTTTTTATAATCTGAAATGTGGAAGTTTGTCAGCATGGTTTGTCAATAGTTTTTATGCCCATTCAATGTTACTGTTCTCATGTTTAGATTTTCAATTGTTTTTATTGTGTATATCATCCTGAAATCTTTTGTAACAGTCTGTAACATGTTAAAATTAAAAAACAACTTCATGCAAGCCAAGAAAGACCATGAGGAACAAGCAACCAGGGAATTAAACACTAATAATTAAAAATAATACTGGTTAAGTAGCTCAGAAGCCAGAAAGCAACTGGGCAGGTCAGGTGCTCATTAGATGACAGATATGTGCAAAACAATTGTTTGGCAGATAAGCATGTTTAAAGGGTGTTGTCATTATGGCTGTGTACTGATGGTATGCATAGTATGCTGTAATTTTGTGGACTAGGTAGGCAGATTCCTGTCACACGGTCTCCACGCTATCGGGTGATGCATTGTGGGGACCTCTAAGATAGAACACACACAATCCTCTGAGGCTCAGTTGGTGGGAATGGAAAAGAGAACCTTCTCAGTGGCTGTTTCCAAGCTTGGTAACTCCCTGCTGAGGCAGGCAAAGTGGGGTCCTTTTCAGATGGCTCATTGCTGGAACAAAACATTTTTATCCAAGCAGGCCTTTGAAGTGAAAAGCTGGTCTGTTAGGCTGGGATTTTATCCTTTATTGTTGTGTTTTTGACTTTTGTTCTTCATATATTTGTTCTGTGATTAAATAAGTTTGCTTTAAATAAGTTCTTATTAAATAATACTTTAAATAAATTCTTATTTTAAATACTGTGTTTTATTGCTGCTAGCACTACCTGCCATGAGTGCCATTACACTGCAGAAAGGTGGAGTATAAATTAATTAATGAAATAAGTAAAAGACATGTGCTCTGTATGCTGCTGCCTCTCACTTTATGAACTAGTGCTGACTCTCTCAGGGCAGCTGCCCACCATCTCCGAGATGGTATTAATACAGGCTTACCTAATACACTTTTTGCATAGGTTGAATTCATATATGGAAATGAATAACACCAAGCCATTGTCTTCTTCTGTTTCTTCTTTTTCGCTTCCTTGTAGGAAGGGGCAGACGAGGACTTTCTCAGTTATCCATCTACAAGTTTGCCAGACCTAATTAGCACTTGCTCTGCTCAAGATACGGCTCCCTGGACTGACAATAAAGAGAATGAAAAGCCAGAGGAAGAGGAGGAAGCCAAAGGAAAGCTCGCAGTGCCAGAAGTCTTGGAACCTGTAAGTGTGACCTGAGAGTATTGATGAACAAATCAATCTATTTCTCATCCATTCTATATGTGTCCAATCCTGAATCTCTTCCATCCCAATTCTGGATAACCCTCTCATTTTTAAAAATCGTGCAAAAATTGTATTTATTTTCATCTGCATGTTGCCTAATACACCCATATTCATGCAATTTCCTATAGTATGCCAAATTTTATACACTTGTTTTTGAGCCAAGAATTCCACTGCAAAATTTGAAAAAACATGCGTTCTGTAGGGCAACTGTGTTCCAAGAAGTATAAATTAGATTGGTTATTTAAAGACATGAATCTTACTAAATTCTCTGCCACCTCTACCCTGGAGATACCATTTTTGAACACAGATGGATGAGTCAGTGAGTTGGTTCTTTCCTTTAGCAGCTATGACTACCCTGGAATATGTCCTGCTGCCGCAACTTGTCCTCCCCGGTAAGGCAAATTTTTCACCACAACAGCTTACTGTTCAAGCATGTTGGAGAAGCCATGGTGTGTTGTACCTACATCCCCCTTCTCATTCCTTCTCTTGTGTGCCGTGGCGGAAAACTAGGATCTCACCACAACATGGAAGTTGGAGAGTGTGCATGATAATTACACCTCAGAAATTCAGGATTGATATCATTACATGTAGGAACATCTCAGTAGTTATAGGAGGCCTATAAATACATGTAAATAAATTAATAAATGTAATGCAATAAATGACATTCAAGATATGTCATATATGAAAGAATTCGACTGTTTGACCAAAATCATTACATCTAACCCTGCCTTTGCATAACTTTCATGGTTACAAAGAATAGGCTGAAGATGTGGTGGCAGCAAAGGGTGTCTTCTCTACTCTTGTCTTTGTCTTGCCTCTTCCTTTGTGCAGAGGGGTTAGTCGTTGCATCTGGTGGTGATGATTTATTTATGTCTTTTATGATGTGACACTATAGAATAGTGTCATAAATGCAGACAACTTGTCCTCTGTGAGGAGCATTCAACCTGCAACTGGATAGACAGGAGAAAAACAGAAGGGTTGAAGGGGAAAGGGAGATAGACACAAGGGGGAAAGGGAGGGATATAGGCAGATGTCATTTTGTGAACAGAGGCTTAGGCTCAGTGCGAGAAAAGGGGCTAAGCTTGATGGATCTGAAGAACATAAGAAGAGCCTTGCTGGATCAGGCCAGATGCTTGTTTAGTCTATCGCTCTGTTTCCCTTAGTGACCAGCCTGATGCCCCCTTGAAAGTCCACATGAGCAATGCCTAGCAGTGGTGACCAGTGTGCTGGTAACTTCTCAATTGGATTATTGTAATGCGTTCTGCGTGGGGCAGCCCTTGAAGATGGTCCAGATACTTCAGTTGGTCTAGAATAGAGCTGCCAGGATATTAACGGAGACTGGGCGGTATTTGCATATAACGCCGGTCCTTTACTGCTTACACTGGCTGCCAATTGAAGTCTGGGCCCAATTTAAAGTGCTGGTGATGACCTATAAAGCCCTGGGTCCTAGATACCTGAAGGAGCGCCTCCTTCCCTGTATGCCCTCCTGTCCCTTGAGATCTGAGACGGAGCCCCCCTTGAAAGAGATTAGGAGGGTGGTTACCCAGAGGAGGGCCTTCTCTGCGGTGGCACCCCAATTCTGGAATATGCTGCCCAAAGAGGCTCGCCTGATGCCAGTGTTCCTTTCTTTTCAGCACCAAGTGAAAACCCTTTTATTCTCCCATTATTTTAATGTCTAATTGGTTTTAATGTGTTTTATACTGCATGCTGTGAATTTTAATTTCTATTTTACTTGTTTGTTGTAAACTGTCCCCAGAAACTAGTATAGGGATGGTGTATAAAAGCTTTAAATAAACATAGTGAGTGTTCTTGTCAGAGGTGCCAAAGATCAGTTCCAGGTGAGGAATCAGGGATCAAGACATCTTTGGGCAACTGATGCTGTCAGTGCTGGAAGAACAAAGCTCATGGACAAATAGACTTTCAGGATCAGTTTAAAGAGTATCTAATTGTTACTGTGTGGCTATATGTTTGTTTTTTCCTTTTTCTGCATTTGTGTTTGTGGTTTTGGTCTTGTTTTGTGTTCTTAGCAGTTTTTCACTGGTATTTGGTTTTGGTTGAAAGATTGTAAGAATCAAATAAAATTATCAATATTAAAAAAAGAGGAGAGGAACAGACTCCTAAGAGTTTTATTCACTAAGGGCTTTTGCAATATGGTGTCTAGGTGGCTTACAAAACTGAGGTGCCTTTAAAACGCCTTCTGTGCTGAAAAGGGACTGGGAAGGTAATCAGTGCAGGAACGTGAAGAGAGTTGAACTAGGAAGCCGGGGAATTTTTGCCCCACAGCAGGGAAAGACTGTGGCTCAGTGGTAGAACTAGATTATTTGCATGTAAATGTTTCCAGGTTCAGTCACGAGCATCTGCAGGTGAGACTGCCTGAAACCCCACTGGGGAGTCACTGCCAGTCAGCATGGACTTGCCTTCTCCAACCTGGCACTCTTGAGATGTTTTGGACAGGATTCAGAACACCTGGAGGGCACTAGGCTGCTGTAGACTAAGCAATATGGGCCAATGTGTAAGACAGATTCCTTTGTTCATAGAAATGAGACAATTGAGGTGTAAGAGCAAGAGGTCGGAGGGGGAAGCTATCAGCCTTCACGGCTGCACAGGACCTTGGTGGGCTTGCTGTGCAAGGCATAACTCCAGCAGTTGTGTGATGGAGCAACCATATAGAAAGCTTCTGATTATACATGCATGTGTGTTATGACAGCACAATGTCTGGTAGCATCAGGTTCTCCAAGACTGGTCTATAATTAATTATCATGAATGATAAAATGCCATATACATTAAAAATTTATTTTGAGGAATTAAATGAATTTGGACAGGCTTGCCTAAAAGCCCAATGGGCTAATTTAAGACGTGATTCTATGCATGTTCAGACAGAAAAAAACAAAACAACAAAACAAAAACTAACAAAAAAGCTTCCAACTGGGGCTTCCTGGGAGCTGTGCGCCTTTTTATTTTTCTTTCTAAACATGCATAAGGTTGCACCCTTGATTTTTTTTCCATATTCCCTCCACAGATATTTTTTCTTTGTGAAATATGAAAAGCCACACCTTTTCAGATGGCGACTATATAGTAGTCTTTCTTCCCTCCTAACACCTTATCAGAGAAACAAAGGATTTGTCTTTGATCTCGCAGAGCAGGGATCTCTCAGTAGCTGTTATGGGAACATTGGAAGATACCTTATATTGAGTTAAGCCATTGATCCATTCCACCCAGCATTGTTGATACGGACTGGTTGCAGTGGTTCTCTGGGGTTTCAGGCAGGATTCCTTCCCGATCCTACCTGGAGATGCTGGGAATCAAACTGGAGACTTTCTGCATGGAAAGCATGTGCTTCACCTCTGAGCCAAGGTCCTTTCCTTGGTGGCAAAGCCATGGACTGGATGAAGGTGAACAAAAGCACTTGTGATGGTTAGCTGCCTTGAGCACCATTTTCTTCCTGGAAACATGGGGTGCAATTATTGCTATCCTCATCATAAAATTATGCCGTCGTACAATTATACAATCATCATCATCATCATCATCAAATGAAATTAATGAGGGATGTGATTGATGCAGGTTTGATGGTGGTGGTGGTGGTGGTGGTGATGATAATGATAGGCATGCTTAGAAGCAGTGTACCTCTGAATACCAGATGTTGGTGTTAAACAATATCAGAAGGTAGTTGCCTTTATACCAGCTTTGGACACAGAATCCTGGGTTACATGGATCTCTGGTCTGATCCAGAAGATCTCCCATCACGATATAACAACATTTAAGATAGGTATTGCTACCTGTAATGCATGAAATGCAAGCCAAGATATGTCACAGCCAGAAACTCAACATTTGGCCAGCAGGACGGTAGAAGTGAGCTAACCTCTGCCTGCCCCTAGAGGAAGGATGGGCAGGCTAATGAGATCCATTTTGTTTTTCACTAGGATTCACGTTCCACCAACTGGGACCAAGTGCAAAATAATGACTTTTTAAAGTTGAAGGTGCTTTCAAGCACATGTTCAACCCAGGAATTAGTTTCCAGTATCAGAACTGAGCTCATGATCCTGTCATACAAAGTTCTACTCTGGTTTTCCACCCACTCTACCCCACATACAAAACTTTATAGAAAGTAGCCTGTTTTAAGATAGGGGAACCACCCTTCTTTGCTGCTTTTGTTAAACTATTGGGAGTAAGCAGACGTGTCATCTATTATAAATACCCAGTGACTTCCAGTAGATCCGGCTTGATGGTGTCCCCACCTCTGCCAGAGCAGAACCCTCACCAGCACGACTCTGAGTAATAGTAGCCGAGGAACAGTCACTTTGAGGTTCTGCTTGTGGGTTTCGTAAGAGACATCTGGTTGGCCACAGTGTGAAACAGGCTGCTGTGGATGCCACAAGACTCTTCGATCTGGTTGATCAAGATTCTTCCTATATCTTTCTGCACAGACAGCATCACCCATCCTGCATTAATGTTATCAATCCTTCATTAAACCTGCATCAGTCACTTCCCTCATTAATTCCAGTGGGTCATCCATGGCTTTGCACCGCCCTTTCTTTACCTCGAAGCCCCTTTTTCTTCCTGAGTCAAAGAGGGCTGCTAGTTCATTGCCATGTGGACCGTGTGTCACGCTATGTGACTGAAGCGTTGCTTGCTATAAATGCTTGAGGCCCAAGGCTTTATTGAAACATCAGACTAGCAGGATTTCTAAGTAGAGCAGAACCAGAGAAACAGCAGAGGCATATGTAAAAAGAAACAGCAAAAATTTTATTCCTGTTTGATAATAACCATATGGATTAACCAGTATTGTGGCTTGGATCTTGTAACAGCAAAAACCAATGAAAAACAACACATGCTTTTTCCCTTCCCTGCAGTGGTGAGGGGCAGCAAAAGGAACAAGGGCCTGTTTCCTGCAGGTGCTGAAATATCCAATATAAGTGTGTAATCTAACACTCTTTTAAAAT